TTGATTTCCAGTTTTATTTCACTGTGGTCTGGGAGAGTGCTTGATATAATTTCAGTTTTCTTAAATTTATTGAGGTTCATTTTTTGGCCTATCATATATTCTATCTTGGAAAAAGTTCCATGTGCTGTTGAATAGAATGTGTATTCTGTGGTTGTTGGATGAAATGCTCTGTATATATCTGTTAAGTCCATTTGCTCCAAGGTATAGTTTAAATTCATTTTTTCTTTGTTGACTTTGTCTTGATGACCTGTTTAGTGCTGCCAGTAGAGTATGAAGTCCCCCACTATTATTGTGTTGCTGTCTATCTCATTTTTTAGGTCTATTAGTAATTGTTTTATAAATTTGGGAGCTCTAGTATTAGGTGCAAATATGTTTAGGATTGTGATATTTTCCTGTTGGACAAGGCCTTTTACCATCATATAATGTCGCTCTTTGTCTCTTTTAACCACTGGTGCTTTAAATTTTATTTTGTCTGATATAAGAATAGTTACTTCTGCTCACTTGCAGTGTTCATTTGCATGAAATCCCCTTTTCCATGCCTTTACTTTAAGTTTATGTGAGTCCTTATGCGTTAGGTTGGTCTCTTGAAGGCAGCAGATAGTTGGTTGGTGAGTTCTTATTCATTCCGCAGTTCTGTATCTTTTAAGTGGAGTGTTTAGGCCATTTACATTCAATGTTAGTGCTGAAATGTGAGGTACTATTGCATTTGTCATGCTCTTTTTTGCCTGTGTACTTGTTTTTTTGTTTTTGCTTTTTAACTTGTATTTTTGTTGTATAGGTCCTGTGTCATTTATGCTTTAAAGAGGTTCTGTTTTCATGATTTGTTTTAAGGGTTAGAGCCCCTTTTAGCAGTTCTTGTAGTGGTGGCTTGGTAATGGCAAATTCTCTCAGAATTTGTTTGTCTGAAAACAACTATATCTTTCCTTTGTATGTGATGCTTAGTTTCACTGACTACAAAATTCTTGGCAGATAATTTTATTTGAGGAGGCTGAAGATAGGACTGCAGTCCCTTCTAGCTTATAGGGTTTATGCTGAGAAGTCTGCTGTTAATCTGATAGGTTTTTCTTGTTAGGGTACCTGGTGCTTCTGTCTAACAGCTCTTAAGATTCTTTCCTTCCTCTTAACTTTGGGTAACCTGATGACAATGTGCTTAGGTGAAATCTTTTGTTGATGAATTTCCCAGATGTTC